TCATCCAAATATTACCTCCACTCCTCATTGCCTCGATCCCCTTACTACCAAACCCCTGACTGGATGCCATTTCTTGGAAGTTTAAGGTTCTTTAGAAGAAAAATTAGAGAAGAAATGGAGAAAATCAAACAAAAGTTACCTACCGAGTGTTTTGTTGATCAGAATTTAAATGAAGACACAAGTTGTTTGCTAGAATTTGCTTGGCGGAATCTTTAAAAAAAATTGAATAATTAATTTTTCCACAAGTTGTCCATTTGAACGATTTGTCCAAATCGTTAGAACTGAAAAGGCCCATGTTCTCATTTGAATATAGGATCAGGATGAGGCCATGTAGTTCACTTACGCATAAAGTCGCATCACCTCAAAATACATAAAGATAGCCCATCTATTAGTTTCTTTTGTAATGTGTGCACTGAAAACATATGATGTCTTCTCCGTCTATTAGTTTCTTTTCACACCGAGGCATCACTTCACCTCTGCAGCAACATATCAATTACTTTCAGAGGCTTTATCAATGATAATGGGACTTCGCCTCTACAACAATGTCTACACTACTTTTAGAAACCTCGTCCCTAGAACATGGGACTACAACTTTACAACTACAATTTCTCCAAGGATAGGTGTCTCATCCCCAAGCTAGTGAGTTTGCCTCTGCATCCCCTCGGCATTACCACCTCTGCCTTGCAAGGTCTCATCCCAAAATTGGGACTTTGTCCCCAAACTACCCTCTACCAACATAAAAGAACTTCATCTCATCACGCATTGCCTTAGCACACGTCTAAACTATCCAAGTGTTCATTTGCCCAAACCTCGATCATTTTCTTAGGTTACATAATCAAGCAAAGAAAAGTTCGCATGAATTTATAGAAGGTTATAGCAACCTCCAAGGCACGTACAAGATGTATACTCATTTTTTTATTTGTACAATTACTATTGAAGATTTGTGAATAGATATTTGGATATCGTACTGATACTGATCGAATTAACAAAGAAAGAAAAAGTTTGGGAATTGTCAGCATAATGCCAAGTCGCTTTTGAAAAATAAGAAGTCTATGTCAACGAATCCTGTGTTGGCCTTGCAGATATATCTAAATCGTTCGAAGTTCAGACGGATAGTTCAAATTTTGCTCTTGAAACGGTCCTCATTCAATATGTGCATCAAGTTGCATGCACGAGTCGAAAGTTGAATAATGCAAAACATCGTTACTCAACACATGAAAATGAATTATTAGCAATACTTCACTATCTTAGAGTATGACATCAATGTGCTTGGGTCTCTATTCAATGTAAAGACTAACAATATTGCTATTAGTTAATTGATGTGTCAATTGAAACTTTCGATCAAGTAAGCTCGTTGGCAAGAACTTTTTGTGGAGTTCAACTTTATGTTGGGGTATCATTTCGGTTCCAACAATTATGTTGCAAATGTTCTTAGTTGGTGGCCAGACTTAGCCACACCATCTGCACAATGGTCACTCTTTTAGGGAGCAAAGTTACTACAAGTATAAGACACAATAATATGAGCATTTCAGAGAAATATCCGAAAACATAAGATTTTAGTCGACCTCATCAAACAGTGCAATGCTCGTCGTTCTGGCTGGATTGGGTCCATTGAAAAGAAAAGACAATCGCCTCTATGTACCCAAAGGTGGAGATTTAGGAAATCATTAATCACTGAGTACAACGACATGCTTTGTGCAAAATATCTTTGAGAGTAACGTGTGTTCTATTGGCCAAAAATGAGGGATGATATTGCAACTAATGTAAAAACTTGTCTTGTTTATCAATAGCATAAAGCAAACCATCTGAAAATGATAGGCTTACTAGAGTCTCTTTCCATCCCAACTAGATTATTCGAGAGTGTATCGATAGACTATATTATTGGCTTGCAAAAGATTGAAAATTTTGGCACTATCATTGTTGCGATAGATCGTATATCAAAATACATAACTTTCATTGCAACGCCTAAGTTTGTATATGTCGAACAGGCTATTTAACTCTTATTCAAACAAATTGTCAAAAACTAGGGGAGGGAGGCTGTCAGGATATCATCAAGATCCTCGATTCACTGGAATATTTTGGACTGGGTTATTTAAACTTCTTGGTTTAACTTTGACTATGAGTCTAGTTTCCAACCTTAATCTGACAAATAGACTAAGAGTTTTAATTAAATGCTGGAGGGATATTTTTGACACTTTATCTCTACTTTTCAGGAAAATTGGATGGAACTTTTGGATGCAGCTTAAGTTTGTTTCAATGCCCAAAAGAGGTCTTACACTAATAAAAGTCCTTTTGAGATTATTACAGGTCAGCAACCGTTACTCACCCATACTATGAATATTAATCAAAATAACAAGTCCCGTCAAACTAAGAATTTCTTTCAAAAATGGAAACAAAATATTGAAATTGCTATAAGCTATCTTGAGAAACCACAGAATTAGTACAAAAAGTATGCTAATCTAAGCAACATTTCCTTGAATTTAATGTGGGAGATCTAGTGATGGTTAAACTTTTCGATATAAATTCTTATCAACAAACAAAAAGGGAAAGATTCCCTATTGGTGCCACAATATACCAAGCTATTACCCATCACGAAGCGGATTGAAAAGGTTGCATATAGAGTATAAACTTCATTCATGGTGCAAAAGTCATAATGTTCTCCATGTCGATGTATTTAAACCTTGTTTTTCAGATAACGAGAATGCATCCAGAAATAAGCTGAAGCAACGTGTATTTGAATTGAAGAAAGCTGGAAAGAGGGTTGCTGGAACTATTCTTGACCAACGAGTTACTATGGCTTCCGAGAAAGACCATTAAAGTTTTGGTGAAATGGAGTAAATGCAGCATTGATGAATGATGAGAATACATGGGAATGAACAAATGACCAGCCATTTAATTAATTAGTGTGTCAATTTAACTTGCTATTTAAGTTTTCTTAATGCGATTTTAATTCAAAATGGAAAACATCAACTTGAATCTTATTTTTCCATTTTAAGTCCACAAACTAGGAAGTGAGAATCATAAATAAATTAATCTTGTGCAGTATATGAAATTTTTAATCACACAAATCATACCATTTTTGGTCTCCATTATTTTAAAATGCATTTTTCTCTTGTATTTTTAACTACACATTTTTTGTTAAAATAGTATTACACACAAATTCAAAAAAATTCCTTATTTTTTAACCATACATTCTCAATCAAATCACTATTATACTCAAACAAGCTTTGAGGCATTAGTTTCAATTTATATTATATCAATTTTATTTCATCATTTGGGAAAAAGCCCTTTGTATATTTTTGTGTATATTAACTTTGACACTCCTCTCACAAAAGTGTACGGGACTCCTATTTTTTAAATTGCGAGTCCTCATCTTTATGAAAGGAATGTCATGCATGATGTACACCAAAAATTGTACATCGAGCATGACTCTTTTTAATTACTAGATTTTTCATGCGTCATACCGACATGACTCATAAAGCCATGATCATGAATGTAATGAATATAAGACACGTGTTATAAAATGTGCAAGTACAAATTGCCCCTGCTCTTCTCTACGGTGCACGTGCCGGTGAAATATGCACCCAGTCAATAGCCAAAAATAGAGATAACTTCACAATTGGTCACTGAAGTTTAAGTACATTTCAAATTGATCATTAAAATAATTTTTTTTGACACATTTTCGCATTAAATTCAAATAAGATACATAATTGGTCACTCTTTTAGCAACATTACATCAACATTGACATCCACTTGTTTTTAACACTATACGTTAAATAGCAATCGTTATGTTTGTCATAAAATCATGAATCTTCAAACTAAAATGCAATTTTCATTGGAATAAACCTCGTGACCAACCAGAATCCCAAACCACTTCATTTAACCATAATTTCATTTTATCGATAAGTAAAGAGGTCACAATAGATCCAAAACATGAGGTTAACTGGAATAATGGTGGTTAGTCAACATACATCTTAACATTTACTGCTATCAAAAATTTGTACTGTGAACACCCAAGCTTAACGGCTAGGAATGAGCACAAGCAAAAATTTTGTAACTCGAGTCCAATGACAAAATTTGAGCACGAACATAACTTCAGTAACTCGAGCTCGATGATAAAGCTTAAGCACGAATGAGACATCCAGAACCTGAAATAAATGGGTCGAGATGTGTCATCATTACATCACTGAAGCTAAGTTAGCGATGGAGAAATATAAGTGTGAGGTTATGAACTGAATCGATGTAAAAGTATAACTTAATAATGAATGAATGACTTGTATTTATAGAGTTACGCAATGCAATTTTGGTGGGATTGAATCACTTGGATGCCTTATCTATTTAAGAGCCCTAAAGGACGTGAAAGTCATGTGAAAACTGGGCATTTGAGTTTCGTTTATAATTGTAGAACTGTTATAATTGGATAACACTTGGTTGTCGTAGTTGAGTCTTTCTATGTTAGAGAATCTGATATATAGGAAGGAGAAAAGGATAGTAAGGGGCATCTAAGGGCCTCAAGCCCAAGATCGAGTTCAATCAGTTGGCTCGAGGATGTTCTGGCCTAAGGAGATTACTCGAGGTTATTATGATCTCGTGCCCGAGAAAGTTCTACTCTAAGGGAAGTGCTCGAGGTTATGAGCCCGTGGTTGTGGTGTGGCCAAACTGTGCATAAATTATACACATGTTATCACTTACATAACATTAATCAACTTCGGTAAAAGTGGATTAAATAGGTCAAAAACATGTCAATGAGCAATTTGAAAAATTTCTTGAACTTCAGGGACCAATATTAACTCACCAAAAATAACACCCATCACCTCCTCTACCTTCTTTGGCCTTTACTCTTTCTCCTCCTTGGATCTGCAGATCTACAGCTCAGGCGAACCCCAACCCCCCCCCCCCACCCGGCACGGCACCCTAGTCCACCTACCAAACAATCTCAAAAACCTAATTTTACTCATTTCTGTGCAATTTGAATAGATCCCCATAATCCCATTAACCCAATGGATCTGCCTCCTGAAGAACTGCAATTCTTGAGCATCCAAGACGTCCTGAAAGAATCAATTTCGATTCCTAAACACTCCCCAAAGACCTTTTACCTCATAACCATAACCTTGATCTTCCCGCTGTCGTTCGCCATCTTGGCCCACTCCCTCTTCACCCACCCGATCCTCTCCCAGCTTCAGTCCGAGCCCACTGGGTCTCATGCCGCCTCATCCGAGTGGTCCATGCTCCTCACTTTCCAGTTCTGCTACCTCATCTTCCTTTTCGCCTTATCGCTCCTCTCCACCGCCGCCGTTGTCTTCACCGTTGCCTCACTCTACACCTCCAAGCCAGTGTCCTTCTCCTCCACCATGGCCGCCATTCCCAGCGTCTTCAAGAGGCTCTTCATCACCTTTTTGTGGGTTTCTCTCACCATGGTCGTTTACAATATCGTGTTCTTGGGATTTCTTGTGCTTCTTATTATTGCAGTGGACACCCGGAACGTTGTCTTGTTTATATTCTCGATAATGGTTGTGTTCTTGTTGTTTTTAGTTGTGCATGTTTACATAAGTGCATTGTGGCATCTGGCTAGTGTGGTGTCTGTTCTTGAGCCTGTTTATGGATTTGCAGCTATGAAGAAGAGCTATGAGTTGTTGAAGGGGAAAATTGGCATGGGATTTGTTCTGGTTTTTGGGTACTTGGCGATTTGTGGAGTGATTAATGGACTTTTTGGGTCAATTGTGGTGCACGGTGGAGAGGATTACTTTGTGTTCTCAAGGATTATGGTCGGTGGGTTCCTCGTTGGGGTTTTGGTAATTGTGAATCTTGTGGGGCTATTGGTACAGAGTGTGTTTTACTATGTCTGCAAGAGCTATCATCATCAAGGGATTGATAAGAGTGCGCTGTATGATCACCTCGGTGGATATCTTGGGGAATATGTGCCACTCAAGAGCAGCGTTCAGATGGAAAACATGGATGTCTGACACAATAGTGGTGTGCTAGAGAGGGTAATTTCTGTGATTTCTTTAGCTTTTATATTACCAGAAAAACAATGTGTAGATAAGAAAACATTTGAAATGGGTGTGTTTTGGGACATTTACAGTAATTGTTACAATAAGAATTGAGGTGGTCCTTATCTTAATTTTCTTTCAACTCGCTTGATTACATTGATTAATTATGATGGTGAATTCTTTTCCTTTGTTGTTTGTCTTTTTCTTTTTTTTACTCTAGGGAATGTGTGACTGGATTTATTAAGACTTTGAAGTTTGAACTGATAGTGCAATGGTGGTGTTACTGTGATTTGGTAGTGATGTCTATTTATATACTAAATTAATTACAGCTTTTTCTTTTTCGTCTCATGCTTTTGGCTTGGTGCATATGGAAGTTATGTTTTTCGTTTGTCACATTAGTATTTTTTTCTTATATCAATGTTTAGAACATTCTTTCTAATTGAGTTACTCTGACTGTATGGTATGTTCACTGTGGTTGTAAACCAACAATAGTTTTATAGCCAACTTGGTTAAGACAAAAAAAATATAAGGGAAAAGACGAGGAAAAACTGACACGATTGACATTGTATTTGCTGTGCCTAAGGTCTTGGAAAAAATAAATAAATCTGAAATGGATAGGTTAGTTCATGGTATTATGGAAATCTGAGCTCATTTTGTTAAAAAATGATGTCAAATGGACAAGTTGTTTTCAAAGTTTTAGGTCTTAACGTATACAGAGCTATTGTCATTCACTGTAACACGTGTAGATTTTTTCCAAAAAGGGGTAGACTTTGTCACACCCTACATGGATTGTGTGTTCTTAAAGTTATATAATCCTAGTGCTGTCGAGCCAATTCGTAGTTTATGTATGATCTTATTGCTCATTCTTTCCCTTTCTATTTTTCGGAAGGAGGTCTTAATTATGGACAATATGTTGATCACAAGGCATATCTGACTCATTTGATTGACCTGCAGAATAAAACTAAGGTTCTAAAATAACTATGTTTCCCCATAAACTTTGTCGTCCCATTACTTGTTAGTGTGGATGTGACTGAACAACAAATTCTTGGAGAGAGTGAGAATCCAATCCAATCGGGAAAATGCAAAGTGCACTCTTGTTTTATCTCCTCTTTTTGTTTGGAGGTGGGGAAACCATTACAATTTTCATTAATTCGTGGATCAAGTTGTCTGCTTCTGAAAGTTAGAGAGTAGCTGTGTTTTGCATCTTATATATGGGGTTGTCTTTTTCTGTTTTAGTGAAATTTGGTGTATACAAAAATGAAGTCAGAAGGCAGATAGGGAAGAGAATTACATCGATTAATTGCAGCAGTAGTCTAATGAGTTGAAAGAGGCTGTTTAAGCTAACCATGAAGTTCTTAAACTGAATTGAAAATTTAGAATCGTCAAAAATTTGGTTGCAAAATCAGAACATATGATATCTGTACCTCTGAAGCTTCCAGTTCTTGTCAACGAGAATTATATGGTCAAGTAGTAGTAGGATACAACTATTATCAGCTTCTAAAATAGATAGGAAACAGCTAACAAGATTAAATTTTAATATGGAAATCTAACTATCAAGGGGTGTTCTAGTGCGTTATACATTCTTATCCAAGACATGTACTATTTGATGATGCCATGTGAATAGGTAGAAGGTGAAGAGTGTCAGAATGGACAGTCGAAAAATAAACTACCATTCTTGTCTTCACCTTCTTCTTCAGGAAATTACAAACATTTTGGCCGAACTATATGTCTTTTATGCCCTAACCCAGCTAGAATAGCACAAGGATAACCCATGTGAACAGATCTGCATGAATGGTTCTATTCTGTTATGAATGTTGTATTTGGTGCTTATTAAAGAGAAAAAAGAGAAGGTAAAGTGTAAAGACTGAGTTTTTCTTCTGAGTTTGGTAAGAACCTTGTTCTGAAAATAAACCTTGAGTGAAATTGTATACCGTGATACCATAACTTTGAAATGGGTGGTTAGTTATATATTATTGGCTACATACCTTGATAATATTGAATAATATCGTAGATATAAGTAATAAGCAAGGATGCCAGGTTTGTAATGGGATGGGAAAAATGGGACTCCATGCCTGTTCATGTGTTCGTGGCCTTCTGGGAGGGAGAGAAACTGGATATCTATGGAAGTGGCTCCATTTACAAATTACAATCAAGACTTCGATTTTGACCATGTTCTTCTTTTAGATGCAATTATACTTGAGAGAAAAAAAGTAAGCTTGCATTTTGTACCCACCTTCATTTGTTTTGTTATTCAGCCTTTAACATATAATGAGTTTGAAGGCTTCTTGGATACTTCTTCATTGGTTGCTGTGCACTTAAGGTTGTAGAATGATTTATTTTGAAGAAAGTTGTTATAGTGATGCAACATTTTTTTTTTTTTATAACCGTAGATGTCCGGACCAACTTGAGCGCACCTCGACTAATTCCACGGGGCCCTAAAGTTTACGACCGGGTACTCACCTCAGTGGCCCTGAGGGAGTAATGCAACATGAAAAGTCTATTCTAGGCGTATAGGGTTTATGTTATTTTCCTTATTTTTTCTTATTGAGTTTTAAAGACAATTTAGTTCGTTTCCTTATAGCGGAAACCCTAGTTTTCCTTTGAGGCTCTTTATTCATAACAGGATACAACTTTTATTATTAAATACTATTGCAAGTCTTTCTCCAATTCTCTCTTCTCCATTCTTCTCCTCTTTCTTTCTCCTTTCTCTTCTTCTTTAATTACTCATTGTTAAGTTGTTTGCATTCATTGTCATATAATGGTTGGTGAGAAATTGTTTTGTTTATCTTTGATGTTGCTTCTATATTGTGAATTAGAATGAAGAGAGAAAATAATAGAATACTTTCTCCTTAATCATTGGTAAAGATAATACACGTATATATACACAATCTAGGAAACTATCTTAGGAAAGTATACAAATTAGGAAAACCTGGAATTAAGCTAATTAGCCAACTACTAATTACAATCTGTAACACTC